AGCCTTATCACTTGGTAAAGAAAACACCACTCTTTTGAGTTCTTCCATGGTAACCTCCCCTTCCAAAAAGGAATTTAAATGAGAAGGAAGAACTTTGAAATCTACCCTATCAAACTTAGGGGACCCTGACCTCAAAGGAGAATGCATGTTGAAAGTGCTTAATAATAGCATTGGACATCCCATCTCTATCCTCGGGATTAACACCCTGGATCACCAGACCGGAAACAAATTTTTGACAGGTACAAGCATTAGCCATAGCATGAAAAAATTTCGTATTCAAATCCCCTTCCTTCAACCACTGAACACGGGAGCGTTGTTTCCAATACACTTCTTCAACTTTCCTCAATGCCTCTAACTCCTTAGAACAACATGCTCTCTCTGCCACTACCCTTCAGACAACACACCTGTGTTCTGAACCACTGAATCTATCAACTCAATTTTGTTAAGAGTTTCATCAATTTTACTTTTAATATGAACACGATTAGTTTTTTTCTAAGCCAATAATTTGTGTTTGATATTGAGCAACTTCTTGTGAAGCTGAAAGTCAAGGGAACCAACAGAGATAGAATTCTCCTAGGTACTCTTGACTAAATCAGTCACTTCTCTTTTATACAACCAACATATCTCCATCCTAAAAGGAATAGAACCCTTAGCGGCCTTCTTGGTACTCAAGAGGATCAAGGTGTGATCAGAAGAAAGCCTAGGCAAGGCTTTGACAGTAGCTAAAGGGAATTTTTCGGACCACTCACCAGAAATCAAGAACTTATCAACTTTGGACATATAAAGATTTACAAAACTCCCATTAGTCCAAGTAAAGGCAACATATGAAATAGGTAAGTCAATCAATACGTGGGCCTCAATAAAATGATTAAAGGCACGCATCGCATGTGTCACCACCCCACCACTATTACTTTCATTTGGCCATGTAATAAAATTAAAATTCCCCCCAAGACACGTAGGAAAATCAATAGACTGAAAAATGTATGACATTCCATTAATAAAAACATCCTTAGCAGCAACAACATGAGGGCCATAAACATTTATCAAACCATTTAAAAGCTAAAAAGGACCCACAAAGCCCACACACAAAAATTTTGTTTTAACCACTATAGAAAAGGATTACAAAACTATAGAATCCCAAAGAATCCACAGCCCCCTCAGAAGCACCCACAGCATCTACCCCCACAAAATCAACTACACCCGGTCCCCAAACTTCCCTGACACCAAACAAAATTGGGGCTAAGGAGTTTAGTTTTCTGGAGAATTAAAATAGACGGTCTAAACTTAGGCACCAAAAAAAAGACATCTTTTTTCCTTTTGAGGTTGCCCAAACCTTGTACATTCCAAGAGAGAATATTCATTTAAAAGGGGGGGCAGAAGAGAAACCTGGGCCATCCTTGAACGAATCAAAGTAGGTATCTTCCAGGAGCATTGCTTCTTCAAGACTATCACCCAGCAACCCTTCATCAACCGAAGAATCCGAGCTGACCTCAACGATCTGCTCATCAACAATGATGATGTCGCTCGCTGTTGCATTTAGGGGCATCCGACCACGGGCCTTTAAGCATTCTGAAACCCTGGTGCCTCTAGTGAGACCCTTACCCTTGCTCTTAGCTTTACCCACATGAGAAAAGGGTGTATGAAACACCTCTTCCTTAGCTTGCATATTCTGATCACACATAACAACAATCGGCTCCTGCTTCTTTTTCGTAGACTCATTTTTCTTCTCCATCTTTTTCTTAGGAAGAATGTCGTGAAATACAACTCCAATCGGAATGTTGAAATCCATTCCACAGTCAGAAATCAAGGCGCTAATCTTCTCCTCATTAGCAGAAGCATCAAGTGCAGCTGCCACAACATGTTCAACAGATGCCTTCAAAGCAACGACCTCCTCAGGACCCATTGCCTGTTGCAACTCAACAGAGAACTGAAGCAATAAAGGATGATGCTTCTGGGGCAATGAATCGAGAGGAAGTAGGTCATCAGTAGGCACCAAAGCTAAATCCTGATGACCCTCCTCCAACATCGGCACTTCAACCCCATCCCCAACCAAAGGATCCATTGCAACAACATCCTCAATCGGTAGCTGAAGAGCATCATCCTAGTCAATCATAATGATAGCCAGTAGATCCACCCCCTAAGGGTCGAAAGAGAGTCTCGGGGAGGAATGAATCCTATGAGCAGGGCGACGGTGCCTCAAAGGATACATCTTGGCCAAAATCACCAATAAAGTTTGAGAAACTATCGCGGAACACCGTTGATGACCTAGAAGAATCAAGGCATAGAAGAGCAAGAACCAACTACAGTGGCGGTTAGAGAAACCACTCAATGAAAATGGATTCATCGACTGCAAATCTAAAACTGGGATGGACAGTCGCAATGAGTGGAAATCTTCAACCACCGACAGAAATTTTGGAGAAGCCTCCATCATAATCTTTTCCTCCAAAACTTGGGCCACAGGCCTGCGATGCATGCATATGCCGCCTTCTTTTAGATTATAACAACTTGGTGAACTCTCACGGCCAACAAAGTCAAAAGGTCCATCTTTTATAACTTCTCCCTTAGACACAACCGGGAGATCCAGGAACCGCCCAACGGGAACCCATCATTTTTTAATTTTCAAATTTTGAAAGTTCAAATTGATGTTTCTAAATAGTCGAAAGGCGGACTTCCCCTTATCTAACCATCCATTCTAAATGGAGGGCTATGATTGCCCCAATCACAATGTCACGTCTCTATACTATTTTATTTTTAATTTTTTTTCTATAAACTATTCGGACAGAAAATTTTAGATGTCCAATCCTCTATTAAACTTGCACTAGCAAAAAATATAAAAAAACTATTTCAATAAAATAAATGACCAAAATGCCCCTAAAAGTTTCAAGGGGTATTTTGGTTATTATCTTTTATCGAAAATTTATTTGTAATATTTTTTACAGGTGCGCCCAATGAGAAGATGACACGTACCAAATTTCATATTCATACAATTTGAATAAAAAAAGCTAAAAATAAAATACTTTGAAACGTCGGATCTAAGATCAAACGATAAGTGGTTGTCTTGATCAAAATTGGACGGCTGGATGGTAGGGGGAGGATAGTTCTTCTATGTTGTAGAGGAATAGAGGAAGTATAGAAACCTTTCTCAAATGTAAATAGGTGTATCGGTTTCTCTCTCTAAAGTGCTCTCTTTCTCAAAGCATGAATAAATTTGTTGGCTTTGCTTTCTCTAAAATATAAATAGATACGTTGGTTTCTCTCTTTCTTTCCTATTTTTTCACTTTAGTGCATTCCAAATCCATTAAGCCTCTAGAGAGAGAAACTAACTCATTTACATTTTTATAGAGTGAGATGATATAAATGGAAATATCGGTTTAGAGGGGGAAAAAATGAGAAAAAGAGAGAGAAAGAGAGAAATATTATTGGGTTTGTTTTGTTGTAATAAATAAAGCTAAAAGTACCTTTGGAGTTAATGGGATTTTTTTTTTTTTGGGATAATAGGTGTAAAAGACTTTTCAACAAGGGCATGAGAAGAACATCTAATCAATATTGCAAAATCGGGCTGTTCAAATCAAAACCACACGCCTAGATCGGAATCGGTCTGGTCGGTTCTGGTTTTGGCCTGGATACTATTCGGTTTCGATTTTGGTGATCCAACCGAATATTTAAAAAACTCAAATATATATATAAAATCTAAAAAATAAGGGATTTATTTCTAATGCGTTTTTAAATTTTTCCACCATTTTGAAAAATATTAAAAAGTGTATTGGCCATTAATAATTATATTTACATTTTTCTATTTTAAAAAAAAAATCAAAAGTACCTTTGGGAACGAATCGATTTATTAAAATCCATTTTTCACTAATTTTTAACTTCATTTGGATGTGCTTTGTTTCATCATGCTTTAAATATACTTTTCATATTTTTTTGGATTCTTTTATATTTTTTTAACATTTTTTGACCATTCAAAATTTACCTAGTTAGATCGATTGAACTGACCGGTTTACTGGTCACTCGGTACTGGCCCTTGGTTGGCTCGATTTTTCAAACACCTTATCTAACCTAGAGAATTTTAGTATTTTTATTTTAAGTGCGACAATGGTTGACCCTTTAGAGAAGTGTCGAAAATATAATAAGAAAAAAAACGACCCTTTATTGAGTTTGCTGTGCACAGGTGCAAACGTAACGTTTGGTATCGATGGCTTACCGGAGAGTGGTCCCGTTGTTTACAAAATGACACAAACCTCCTAACTACGATCGAAGATTTTTCATATTACGCTCATTGTTCTCTGCAATGCAAAACACGGGCAATGCAACAAATTTGCCCCAAATTCTCAACATTTTCAATTTTCTTGTATTGTCCATCTAAACTTTGATATTTTCTAGCTTAGTGGCAAGTATAGAACCCCTTTCAATGCCAAAATAGGGTTGAAATTATTACCAACTTCATCTTGATTCGATTGAAATTTCTACTAAAATTTAGGAAAAAATTGGCTACTTTAACAAAGAATTTTGCTTTGCGAAACACATTTTTCTTTTCTAGAGAAACTAGATTGGGATTCTAAATGGATTTTTTCATCGAAGTATTCGGATTTTCGGCCTAAATTGAAAAAGATTGGAGAGTAAAGGTTTGCTGATGACATTTCACAAAAAGATAGTGGCAGTATGCAATAATTCAAAGGTCATATCATAAACAAGATCCACTTCACTCGCTTCTCATGTGGTTTGCTTAATTAACAACCCAAATAAATGTATTGAACTCCACATTAAATAATTGTTTTTTTTTGGCCCCCTCATTTATTTCTCCATACTTCAAGCCCATATTTTTTCAGTAACACGCGTCTACCTGGCATTGGAATAGAACAAATTTCTCAAAATAAATAAATAAATAAATGCTTCCCATGCATGTACAGTAGAAGTCGGTGCAAAAAAAAGAAAAAAAACAAGCAAAATTATCAACTTACCCTTGCCCAAATAGTCAGGTATAAATAGGTGGGTTCACAAATAGAGTTGCTCACAAGTTTCTCATAGAGAGCTTTGAATTCTTGATCAGTTGAGTTAGAGAAGAAAACCTTGAGATTTGATTCTTCATTGAGATCCACAGGCAAGAAAAGGAAGCTCTGATATATCCTCCATCATGACGGTAAGCCCTAACTTAATGTCCACCGATACTTTCTTCAAATCATTTCCATTAATGGATTCGAAGAATGTTGCATTATAGGATTCAAACAGTAAAATGTAGATTACATCGACTGTCTCCTGTCGAGTGTTGATGGATGTTCATCCAACAGAGTGGACACGAAGTTGAGGAGCGGTTCACATCAACCATCGGTTGTCGTTATCAACAATCGATGGTAGTTGTAACATGCAATCCGGTGTAGTGTTTGCAAACTCTGCAGTCAAACTCAGAACCAGCGTGTCAAACAAGAATCGGGTACTAGTCGATCCGGTTTTGGCGGTCCGCCGAGTATTTTAAAAAAATAAAAAATTTATATAAAATCCCAAAAAATAAGGGATTTGTTTGTAATGTGTGTTTTAACTTTTTTTATCATTTTGGAAAAGATTGGAAGCTTATTTTTACATCTTTTTTCCTTTTTTTTGAAAAATTTCAAAAATACCCTTGGGTACAAATATTTTTTTAAAAAAAAAATTTCATTTCTTTCACTAATTTTCAACTTCATTTGGATGTGTTTTGTTTAATTATCTTTTATATATAATTGTCATATTTTTAGAAAAACATTTGTATTTTTTAAAAAAACAAATTAGCACTTTTTGGATAGGTTAGGACCTGCCGGCTTAGGCTAATTGGACCGGCAGATTTTCCGGTTACTCGGAACCAGCTATTGGCCGGTTTCTGAGATCGGTTTAATTTTTCGAACACTAGTCTAGTGTTTATAAACTTCAATGCATCTTATTTTTACTCCGAGCCGTCGTGTCCTTCTTGTGGTGACCTTGTGAAGAAGGAAAATTTTCAGTTTCTAAAATGATAGATATTTTTGGAAAATGAGTTCAAGTTGCAATATCCATGGAGATTTACACTTTCTTGAACATCCAGAGAGTATCTTCTTCTCTGTCTTGTTTTCTTTTGAAACAGAGGTGAATTATGGGTGATATTAGGGTGCGTTACTGGCTGAACATGTTCACCCTCCTAAAATCCGTCTTGAAGATGGACTAAGGGTTCAAAAAGCTACATATCTATCCTCTCAGACTTCCACGATCATTATGGTGTGTTATGCGACCAAGTCCGAGTGGATTCGGCCGAGTCCCATAACACTGGCTATTACTATCCAAGATCATTGACAGCAAGTGTAAATGACATCGTTTGAAAACAAAGAGCAATTTTAGTGGAAAGTAATCAATTTTCAGTTTGAGAAAAGTAATGGATAATGACAGACAGTGTTCCGGGGCTCGGCCGAGTCTACTAATCAACGATTTGCAATTTGAGGAAGTCGGCAATGGTAGCATATTGTAATAAGAGTCCCTAATCTTTTTTTTTTGACAAAAACTTTAGATTGTAGACATGAGAGTGCACATGGACTGTCCGGGATGTGAGAGCAAGATCAGAAGGGCTCTTCAAAAGCTCAAAGGTATTGCTTTTATTGTTATTGTTGATATTTTGATAATGTGTATATTGTCCTCATATTTCTCTCTTGTGGCAACCTCAACTCACATTTTGCTTTGTAATATATTTGTGTATATTCCGAAATTTTGCACATATCAAGACCATACATCTACAATTTTTTTTACTTTTTGCTTCGTTTTTTTTCTTTAAAGGCATCACTAATAAATTCATTGCAAAAAATGAGAATGGGGAGCAGTTGTATACTGTAAGGCCATTTATCACAGTTAGTCTTACCCATTGAATGTGAAACTCGACGGCTTGGGATATGAGGCAAAGTTCAAAGCATTTTATTTTGGACTTTGTGTCCATTCAATGGTATATACCCTCAACCCTAATTTCACATTTGACGGGCAACCGTCATCAATAACCTAATATTTTTCTAATGAGTTCTATTTTTAACCGCATGTTCATGCTTTTGCCGCCGTCTTTTCTTTTTTTTTAATGTTCTACATACACTAGTTAACCAACCCTTTAAATGTTAGTAAATAAGGATTGTATACTATAGGATCATTTAATTTTTGTATAAAGAGTTCATAATCATTTTTAACCACCGAATGTGAAATCTAATGCATAAAAGTATTTCGCAACATTTGAGAAATTTTGTTTTGGACTTTATGCCTAAATAATTACACATCCTCAACCACACAATTTCAAATCTAAAAGTCAATGATGATTGCAACCTCCTTGTATCAAAAGTAAATATATTTTCCAGTAAATAACATGAATTCTTACGGATCCGTCCTCACGCCAACCACTATATATTCGCTGCCAAAAAAAGAAAATTGTGTATATGATCCCTAGGGCACAGATTGGCTATTTGCTCCATAGGGTGAAGGAGCTACTTAAGAGGATATTTTAGACCTGAAATTTGGGGATCCACCTAATAATATGCTTATAAAATAAACTTGGTTTTTTGAATTCTTCAGTTCTTAAGTCTGACCTTTTAACTTAGGTTATAATCAGGCACATACAAAGTGCATTTGAAATGTTGGTCCCTAGATTTAAGAAGTTATATCCTCATATTTGGAGTCTAAAAATACTCATATATAAAATTACACCCCAGGAAGTGAAGGGAGACGAAAGGCTACTGATGAAATCTTTTCACAAGAAAAAAGAAATTCACCGGATTTTTTTTTATTGACTTTTATCTTTTATGCTCCTCTATGTGTATAATAGGTGTGGACACCATTGACATAGACATGAGAATGCAAAAGGTGACTGTTACCGGTTGGGCCGAGCAAAGAAAGGTCCTAAATGCGGTTAGGAAGACTGGAAGGAGGGCAGAGCTGTGGCCGTTCCCGTACAATGCGGAATACCATTCATACACCCATCACTACCATCATCAACATCACCTCACCACTCCAGCTACCTCCTCTTACAACTACTATAAGCATGGGTATGATGGTCATGTTCATGGATACTACCATCGCCAGGCTCACTCTACCATCTTGGATGATAGGGCTAATTCTCTCTTCAATGATGACAACCCACATGCATGTTCCGTGATGTAAATGGCTAGTGCTATGGGATAGAGGTTAGGTGGTTTGGGTGGCAGTACGCCACAATATGACGTCTTATAGGTGGGAGATGCTTCTCCGCTGAACTACCTAAAAAAATATAGTTAATGCCAATTTCTGTAACTAGTGTTTGTAACATAAAACATATGTTTTGTGGGACTCTAAGTTTCGTTTTTACTTTTTCTAATCACTCTTTCATTCATTAAAGTATTATGTACTATGTGTCGCTATGTTTAATCAACACATGATTCTGCATACTCCATATCAATGATATTAGACTCAATCGAGGTCACTTGGACTCAGCCGAGTAACTTGGCATCGACCTATGGGCGAAGCACGTTGTGAGCAAGTAGGTAGTACAACATTTTTTTTAGTTCAAGTATGATAAAACCTCAAATGTGCTAAAAGCCCTTTCAGGTTAGTACTAAGGGATACCTTTTTAACTCCGTCATCCGTAGGGTTCCAATCCCACCACTTCCAAAAAAACTCTTAACATGATGGAACACATGACCTCTCGTAAAAAGGTCCATTTAGGGACAGGAATCCAACCAACACACCAATTCATTATTAAGTGCCAATAGTAGCGCTCATAAAATATAAGGATTATTTTATCTTTATTTTTTTAAAAAAAATAAAAAATAAAAAAAATCTGTGTACCCTCTATATTTAAGTTTCATATCTCCATAGATTCGAGATTTCAAAATATATCTTAAAGCATAGAAATCTTTAGGTTTTATATCTTTTAACTATTAGATTAATTTTACCCATTTTAATCATGTTTTTTAATTCAAATAAATTGTACAAAAACAACTATTTTTAAACTCATTATTTCTCTCTCCTAACATGTCAATTCGCAAACTTCTCTTTCTTTTTCTGTCTCCCCCGTACTTTCCCCAAGCCCTTCTCTCTCTCTCTCCATATTACCCCCACCCTCACCCTCTCTTTCCCTCCATATTACTCCCCACTGTCTTTCACTCTCTCCCCAAACCACTCTCTCTCCCCCAACCCCTCTCTTTCCGTGTTTCCCAACCTTCTCTCTCCCCAGAAACATAGGTACGATGATGGTAATTGGCTTGTCAAGGAGCTGAGTAGCAAAGGGAGATGTTTGGGAGTTTGGAAACCCATAACCAACTGCAACTTTATCTTCAATAATACTAACAATGTTTATCTTCAGTAACACTAACAATGTAAGACTGCAAGTGGGTGATGGTTCAAAGATAGGATTTTTGGATGAACCACAGGACCGAGGGTTGAATACTTTGCGGACCATACCCAGAGATGTCATCATGGCACTAAATCCAAGTGCCAAAGTTGCTGAGGTTGTGGAAGGATGGGGACATGATGTTTCGGAGAAACATTAAAAAGGATAAAGAGACAGAGGCTCTCACAGCTTTGCCCCAGAGGTTGAAGCAGCTTTCGTTCAACTTAAGTTCACTGATGTATTAATCCTGAGGGAAGGTTGAGAAACACAGAGGGAGAGAGGGGTTGGACAAAGAGAGAGAGGTTTGGGAAAACAGGGGGTGGAGTGAGAGAGAGGTCGGGGAGGGGTAATATAGAAAGAGAGAAGGGGCTTAGGAAGAGTCGTAGGGGAGAGAGAGAGAAATTTGATAATTAACAAGTAAATATATAGAAGATAGGTTTAGAAGGTTTTGCTTTTTTTAAATTTGTTTGGATTAAAAAATAAGATTAAAGTAAGTAAAATTAGTCTAGTGGGTTAGAAGATATAAAACCTACGATTTCTATTCTTTAAGATATGTTTTGAAACATTAGGTCTATAGAGATGTGAAACTTAAAAATAATGAATACGTTAATATTTTCCTTAAAAAAAATGAGTTGGACTCGGGCAAGTTACTCGGACTCATATAAGTAAATCGCCACGGCCAAAGTCCGAGTATATTAGCCGAGTCGATTTTTTGAACATTGCTCCATACCAGTTTTGAGCAGGGAAGTTTTATGGCGTTTGTTTTAGTTCAAATATAATAAAACCTTAATTTTAAGACAAATGTGCTAAAATATTTTGGTTAGATTAAGGGATCACTCTTTAACCCCGTCAGGCATGAGGGTTTCAATACCACCATTGTACACCGCTTTTAAAAAAGTCTCTATTTTTGGAGTTCCAAAAAAGAAGTAACCTCCTCCATTGGGAACCTTATAAAGGGGTCGAATTAATATAACCGTCACGCCAATTCATTAATAAGTGATAGGAATGGCGCTCATAATATATAAACATTGTTTTATCTATATTTTTTTTTACAAAAAAAAAAAAAGTTAAACTAAGTTGAGTTATTCGGACTCACCTGAATAAATTGCCTTAGTTAGAGTCTGAGTATCTTGGCCGAATCGATTTTTTGAACACTGTTTTTTGCCAATCTTGAAGGCGCTTCATTTGATTCTGGCTTAGAATAGATCCTCGAGAGAATTCATCAACCGAGATGTTCATCATTTGATTCATGTCCTTTTTAAGCTTTATTCTCTAACACCAAACTCCTCCGAGGGCCTTTGGAATCCTTCACTTGGGTCTGGGTTTGGTGTAAACCTCTGAAGACTACTGGTTGGAGTTTTTAGCATGCTAAACGTCTGAAATTCAAAGTTCATAGTGCTTGTTCATGTGCCTTTGCTCCCCTTAAATGCGTCAGATTTTATCGTCTCAAAATGCTTTTAGGGGCACATTCACCGCCTCCAATCTCAAATGCATGAATTACGCACCTATTAATCAACCTCAATTCCCAGAGATAACATATAAAAAAAAAAAGAGAGAAATATATTTACTGATATGGAGTAGTCTTCAAAAGATCAACTCAACCAAAATATTCGAACCCTTGCCGAAACTATTTACTTGGAGGAATCCGAGTAACTTGCCTGAGTCTAACTCATTTTGCTTTTAAAAGAAAAATAGAGATAAAATAATGTTTATATATTATGGGAACCACTTATGTTCCTTAATAATGAATTGGTGTGCGGGTTAGATCGAATTGAACCTCATTTTAAGAGATCTTGTGTTCCATTCCCAGTCGGAAGTTAAGGTTTTTCTGAACTCCAAAAATAAAGACACTTTTTAACAGCGGTGGAAAATGGTGGGACGATGGGTCAAAAAGTTATCCTTTAGTACTAACCAGAATGGGCTTAGGACGATGGGTCAAAAAGTTATCCTTTAGTACTAACCAGAATGGGCTTTTGGCACAGTTGCCTTAAAATTGAGGTTTTATTATACTTCAACTAAAAAAACGGGGTACAATCTACTCACTCAAACTCGTTTCGCCCATAGGGTGAGACTGAGTTACTTTGTCGAGTCTGAGTGACCTCGGTCGAGTCTCATGATATTGATATAGAGCAATGTTTAAAAATCGACTCGGCCAATATACTCGGACTCTGGCCGAGGCGATTTATTCAGGTGAGTCTGAGTAACTCGTCCGAGTCTAACTCTCTTTTTTTGGGGAAAAATATCTTCATACTCTTTATTTTTAAATTTCATATCTCCATAAACCCAAGGTTTCAAAACATATCTTAGGGCATAGAAATTCAAGGATTTATATATTCTAATTTCCTAGACTGACTTTACTCACTTTAATCTTATTTTTTAATCCAGACTAATTTTAGAAAGATAGCCCTTTCTAAACTCATCTTTTATATATTTACGTGTCAATCCTCAAATTTCTATCTTTCTTTATCTCCCCCCATGACTCTCCCTAAGCTCTCTCTCCCTGCGTGTGTCACTCTCACTTTCTCCCTTGTGTTTTTTGAAACCCCTCTCAATTTCCCCAACACCTCTCTCTCCACTCTCCCTCTGCGTTTCCCAACCTTCTCTCTGGATTAATACATAAGTAAACATAGGTTGATCAAAAGCTGCTTCAACCTTTGGAGTATTGCTGTGAGAGCCTCTGTCACTTTGTCCTTCAATGATTCTCTGAAGCATAGTGTCTAAATAGCATCATGTTGCTTAGGTTAAAAAAGAGGATTAAAGTAGGTAAAGTTAGTCTATGGGTTAGAAAATATAAAACCTAAGATTTCTATGTCTGAAGATATGTTTTGAAACTTTGGATCTATGAAGATATAAAACCTAAAAATAAAAGATGCGAAGATATTTTTTCTTTATTTTTTAATTACAAAAATGGAGATAAAACAATGTTTATATATTATTAGTGCCATGTTCTAAGTGGAAAGGGCTTTTGGTGAGATTGGAACCGTAGCAGTTTTTATTATACTTGAAATAAAAAAAAGGTTGTAGAACCTGCTCGAAACTCGTCTTACCCATAGGACGTGGTCGAGTTACTCGGCTGAGTCCGAGTGACCTCGGCTTAGTCTAACAACATTGGGCAAAGATATGCATTATTCAGATTTTACTCTAAGCCAATCTCAAATAATTGGAAAAAAGGCTCTAATGGTGATAATAAAGATTTTGCCAATGGTGGATCGTAAAAGTTAGGATGTTCTTGCGGTGAAATCCCAAAATCACTATTTTAAGATTTTTACTAAAACCAAAGTCATACAACGAGCCAAAAGGTTGACTGGAATTGAAGTGAGCACTTGGGTTAGGGCATTCAACTTGAAGCAGGCAATTCAGTAAACGTCTTGATGAATCCAGGGCCAAACAAAATCAAAGGGCAAACACTCAAAATTGGCAGCGGTTTCATTCCAATCAAAGTATTTTACAATTTTCTTTGGATCCTAACTCAAATCGAAGTGCCCTAATCAAAGATTAACGGATAACCCAATGTTCCATGACTCGCCCAAGTTGAATCTGACTCGAGCGAGTTAATGGTGCATCTGAGTAAGGTTTATAGCCTCCATTATGTGGAATAATAATATGATGTTTAATTTAATAACATATTAACTCCTTCGCGGTTAGTTTTAACAGTGTGAGCCTTAAATTTAGGGATTGAACCCTTAAATATGGTTGTCAAAAAGAAATCCCTCAAACACCACCATACTCAGCATAGGACATATGATTATATTTCATTTATTTTTTTAAGGGGCTAAAAAACTGCTTTTTATTTTTTGAGCGGACTGGACTCGGGTGAGTCGAGTTACCCCATAGGACATATAAATGTATTTTATTTATTTTTCAAGGAGCTCAAAAGATTTCTTTTTAGATTTTTTGAACAGGCTAGATTGGGGGCGAGTCGAGTCACGGTAACTTGGTTAACCCCATCACCGATTTGCGACTATAAAGAAGGGGATGAGAGCTTTCGATGTCAGAGTTTATGGTTCTACCAAAACTTGATAGCCTTAGAATCAGCGTTTTGAGATTGGGTGAGGCGAGTTTTTTAGATTGTGTATGATGTTTTTCAGTTTAATTATATTAATACCTCAAACCTAAACCAAATGTATTAGAATGTCTTTTTAGTTATTACTAACACATAAAGTTAAACCCTCTTACGGTTCGAATCTCATAGTATACAACTTTTTACTCTATTTTTAAACATGACATTTTTTTTGGAGTTTAAAGAAAATGTAGCTCCCCACTACGCCATTTTTAAAAACGTCATATTTTTTGGAATAAAAATATCTAGCCCCCACTAGAGTAGAACACAGTATATTTATGGTGGGGCACTAACCAACATGCCAATCTGTTGCTTGATGAGAAAAAGTGGCTCTCATGACTGTTTTTTATCTCCATTTTTTTAAAAAAAATAATGAGCTGGACTCGAGCGAGTTATTCGGACTCGCTCGAGTAAATTGCCTTGGCCAAAGCTTGAATACCTTGGCTGAGTTAATTTTCTAAACACTGTTTAAACTATTCAATGGAAAGTAAAACAATATAAAGCAAAAAAAAAACTTTAAACAAGTGAAGTATTTTAAAATACCTTCAAGATGGGCTCTGAAATGAAAGAATATGGGCCTGGAAGCAGAAAGATTGGATGCAAGACAAATTGATGAACTTTGTGCTGCTCAAACTGGCTGGGTTTGTGGTGGTAGCTCCCACACTCTAGTCACCTTGTTGGTTTTTATTCCCACTAATGTTTTATTGGTTTCTATTCCTACTAATGTTTTAAAAACCAACTAACTCCTAAATTATTTTAAAAAGTAGGTGGGGCATGTCTTCCACATTAAATTACCCAACAAAACTTTGTGATACCCAAAAGAAAACTGAAAGTATTATTGGCCAAAGAAAAAAAAAGGAAAATTATTTCATGCGGGCTAGATCGCATTTCTACAACATGCGGTCCAGAGGTATAAAGCATCCATCTTAAAGATCAATGCAAATTGGTGGGCCCATCTAAAAACAAGTGTAATTAACGGTCCAAACGCTTTCTTAATATAATTAATATTTATAGTTTTCACTTTTTTTTTTTCTTTCATATTCCTGATCTCCATGTTAAATATATATTCTCTAAAATTTAGGATCAAATTATATTTAAAAAAATTATTTATTGCCAAGCCTGTATTTCTACCATATGCCGGCTGGCCGCAAATAAACCGTGTCCAAAAAAAAAAAATGATGATATTGGACCTTTAAAAGCCTAGGGTTTCAAGGAAAAATTGAGCCCAAGAGTTCGATTTGGGTCTTATATATGATTTTCTGGGCTACAAAAAGACTGAGATTGCCCTCCATGAAACTGAAAAGTCCATGGCTTAATATTCACAAGCTGTTGGCAAAACCAAAAAGACAGGGGCAGCCCGTGGTCACTTCAGCCCGCCAAGCGGGTTTTTCAAAACCCTAATCTTAATCAAAGTGGCATTTTGCCTCAAATCAAAGTAAAATCGGTAGAGTTGGCCTATCATTCATAAGGATCCAAAGAAATTCATTGAAAGAATCAGGAAAGTCTTAGATTCAAAGGTGAACGAGAGGGCCGAGACCATGGTGACAATTAATCTGATCATTTTATGCATTTTTGCTTAAGTGCAACTGTGCAAGAAGATTAAGGAAATCAAGAAGATGATGCACTCGAGTTGCGAGATTTTTTATCAAATACAAAAGGGTCGCTTTTAAGCATCACTTGTTAGGGATAAAGTGCAGTTAATCCCAAGTTTATGCAATCATCAAGGTTCATGCACTCAAAATTAATCTAATGATGTTCTTGTTAGGGAAAAACCGCGGTTAATCCCAAGTTTCTGCAATCATCAAAGTTCATGCATTCAAAATTAATCTAATGATGTCCTTTTAGAACATGGAAGGGCTCAAAACGCATCTCAAAGCCTCCTAATCAACGGAATTTCGAAATTAGAATTTGCTAGCATTTATTTCTCCAGTGAAAACCACAAACAAAGTTTGATTCATGTAATCAATGCTATCCTTGAGGTGTAGAAAGGGCATTCATGTGATCAATGCTATCCTTGCGGTGTAGAAAGGGCAGGCAAGCAAATTGCATGGTCGCCTAATCAAGCACGGCTTAATCAACAAAATTTGGCTCTAGTTTCCTTTCACAAGGTGCACCCAAAATTAATATATTTCTTCTAGATATGGTTTCAGAGTTTAATCTCATGAATCCGAAAATGAAATAGGGAAGCATTCATAACTTACCAAATATATGTATGTGTGTGTAGATCTTTTCATTCAGACATACGAAAAGAAGGAAAATGAAAAAAAAAAAAAAGAAGGGAAGCAGAAATGAAAAAAGGGAAGAGAGAGACGAAGAGCAGGAGGGAGCTCAAAAATAAGGAGATGAAATGGAAACCTAAATATTTGATAATAAAAAGAGATAGCATGCCTAGATACAACGCGAGCTCATGCGGCCACATATGCAGCATTTCAAAACCCATATCAATTGGACGAATCAGTTACCCATAGATCTGTGTCGAATCATTGGATCAGTGATTTGGATCATAATTGGATTGGTCCAAATTTATCTAGAAAATATTTAAAATTAATAAAATAAAATAATTAAAATATGGATCATCTATAAGGTTTGGATTTAAAACGGACCGAATAGAACATTAAATAAGCTTTAAAAATAAAAAAGTGAGAAAAATATACAATAGAAAACCAGGTTGAACCCATACCATCCTAGAACCGATTCGATCCCGACCAATTCCCATCCATATCAATGACCTAGATCGAAAATCACCAGATGTTAAAACACTGCTTCATGCTTATATATGTGCATGCATCCATGAAGATTTCTGTGGATGTAATTTTGTGAAAAGTGACCAGTTTACGTATAACATATGTGGGCACATCTTTGTGCCCAAAGATGCACATTGAGAGGGAGGCCGAGATGGGGAAGGGGGGATGGGAAGCCCAATGGTTAAACAACCATACTTCACTAATCTTTTAGTAAGTGTATCATACCCAACAATCAGGAGGAACAAGAAAGCGCATAAATTTCACATTTGGATCAAAAAGGACCAAACTTTAGAATACACAATGTTAAATAAACTCCAGTAGAGAGAATGGAGTAAGCAGCATATGATAGGAACTTAGCTAAACTTTGACCTTAGTTGTTTCAGAGGACATCAATTCGATTTCCAAGGAACAAACAGCCACGCAACTTACAAAGAGTATCACATTATTTGCTACAATAGCTGTTTGCAACATCATCAAGTGCCACTAGCATATAAGCGGGTCCATTCTTTTGCTGCACCATCAGAAGCACAGCACACAATGAGACAAGGGAAAAATGACTCTGGTAAACCAAAGCCCGTTTCAAATTTATGATATTTTACCTGTTTCCACCGCTTCAGCTTCATTTGCCTTCCAATGCTTTGCAATGTTGTCAGAGAGTGGATCATCTGGGTTTGGAGCACTCAGCAATGCCTGTATGCTGATACACACACACAGTAACAATCATTAGCTTTATAAAGGTAAGAGAAATATACCATGTCCCACACAAACAGCACAAGAGAGAGGTGTCACCTCAGCAGCACGGTCCTGATCTGCAGTGCAGGACTCCATTTGTCTTTGAGGATATCTAGACAAATGCGGCCAAGCTGCATAAATTGGACAGAGTTTTAGGAAGATCAAACAAAGTGATATTTCAGTTTGTAGAGAGAAAGGAGAGCAGAAAGAGGAAGCTTCTTGCCTTGTCAATATTTGGGTGGTAAATCTTCGTAAGAAAGCGAACCTGTTCAAAATAGATCTGAGACATAAGTTACAAGACAGATACCCAAATGTTCAAAACGTCTTGTCATTCTGAAAAGTTGGAAAAGGGTGTCATTCCTCACATTCATATGAGAACCAGTTGAGAACTGGCGGTAACCAGTAAAGCAGGGAAATTTTAAATGGCATACTCAACTGTAGCTACAATTGCCAATAACTGGTTAATCATTGAGGTACCCTAAGGCTTAGTTGAACTAACTGAACAGGAAAATGGCACCGACGCAGTTCCACAATTCTTCAGTATATGGAATACCAGTGGAAGTGGCACAACTAAATGGAAAACAGGGGGGAATGGGGAGAAAACACATACAAACAATCATCATAAAGAGATATCTATACATGCAACCCCCGAGTTATCAATGGATAAGGCATCAGCTCCAGATGGGAATGGGCTTTCCAACACCATTATCTCAAAACAAGAAGTGGAAATTAAAAATTTCTTTCCCCTGAAAAGGATTATATAGACTAATAATCATACAGACTTCAGACAAATAAAAACCTTCCTAACTCATACG